TACTAGGATGTTGGTAAATGACAGTCTAAAGCATCCTGTAAAATTATGGCACCTGGTGTTAAGTCATTTTCAAGAAAATGGTATTTTTGTATACATTTCCAACGGTGGTCTGCCGGAAAAACTATTTTTCAACTACTGCTCCAAATTTACCCTTTTAGTATTTCATAGCAAATATTGTTACACTGACAGCTTTTAAGTTTTGTGTTCATGGATGCTGGAAAAACCAAGAAAATATGTTGTTCTTGTAGTATGGTTCCTCACTTCCTTGACCCTACTTCAGATGAAACGGAGCAATTTATCGACGTCGGGTCCGGGAACCAGACTACATGTATCGCTTGAACTCGTTCCCGGATGTGTAACTGATTGTAAACAAAATTTGGACTAACTAAATTTGGTAAATTGGGGGGGGGGGGGGGCAGCATTTGAAAAAGTCAGTTCAAGTCAGTATCCTCAGCGGAAAGTGATACAAATATTCCACTTTTCTTGAAAATGACAGCACACCAGGTGCCATGAATTCACAGGATGCTTGAGACTATTCACTTACAGTCAAGTAAGGTATTTCATAATAAGTTTGTAGTTTTTGCTTTTGATCATTCCCAAACTGCGACACGTGCTGAAAAAAAAATACCAAGAGTGTGATTTCTTTGCCGGGAAGACCTCCAAGTGACCGGAGGATAAGGTCACATGAGGACAATGTCCCTAACATTTCTAGCGTCTAGCCCGATCACCATTAATGTAATAGATCACCCACCTAAGCTTACCACAGGCTATAGCAAAACAGTCGGCGCTGCGATACTGTACGTATCCCCCCTCCCAACAAAAAAAAAACACTCATTAAAATTATAGCTATGTAACGGCTTCGTAAAGAATGAATTTTCCTCTAAACGAGGCGACATGAAACTATTCCTCATCAGAAGTTTATTCTGAATAAAATTACACCAAACTCTTCAGTATAATTTATTTATACATACATGTACATGTACTTTCTTTTGTGAAACCACTAGTAAGTATGACAGTTAGTTCCTCTTTCTGCTCTACTGACCATACGTTACACTTACTTTTGGTTTGCGTAATTGGTTTGATACATCGGGTTTTTTTCCTTAAAAAAACAACGGTTGTGGCTTTTCCTAAATAACCACGGTATCTGAGTCATACAAAATGAATGCGCCGTCTCAAAGCAAGTTTGGGATCATCTACTTCTCCAGTTTGATGCTCCATACAAAAATGCCATTCGCTGCGGTCTAAAACATATTATATGCGTTTGGCGATGTACTGTAAATCCGCTCAGAACACTCCGAGCATAAAGTAATCAGCTTAGATCCTAGTTCGATTCATGGCTCATTTTCCCCAGCATCCGTAGCTTAAAGGGAATATACATCATTTGCTTTTGCTGTAATTTTCAGAAATGGATGGAATTGGGGGGTTGGAAATATATAGCAAATATAGTTACACTGACTTTTTTGAGGTTTTGGGTTCGAAAATGCTATAAAAACCAAGAAAAACAATGATTTTCCTGTAGTCTGGTACCCTGACTCCATATAAGAAGAAACAGAGCAGTTTACATACATTGGGGAATTGTAAGGTCAGGGAACCAGTCTAGCTGGCTTGTACCCGTTCATAGGTGTGTAATCGATTGCAAACAAGTGCGATGGTCAATTGGGGCCAGTATTTGAAAAAAAGCCAGTTTTTTCCAACGCTGGTCGGCCGACCAGCGTTGGAAATTGATACAAAAATACCACTTTTCTTGAAAATGACAGTATACCAGGTGCCATGATTTTACAGGATGCTTTACACTGTCATTCACTAACAGTCCAGCAAGGTATTTCAAAATGATTTGGTAGTTTTATTTTTTGATGTTTGCAAATGTTGTATTTTCCCTTTAAAGCATTATGGTCATATTATATACGGCCACAAAATAGTCGATCGTTGTACTGCTGGGGAATTTGGAGATTTACTTCGCCGATAACCCGTAATCCTGCCATTGTGATTAAAGATATCGTTTCACTAGTCCCGTTTCATTTCCTCAAACTCTTCCCTGTTATATTGTCAGCTACTCAGCTTGTGCATTCCACGCCATTTCGTATGATGAGATTGAAAGAACGGCTAACGAATGATTAATAAAAGGGTGTCCGACTCGAACTTCCCGATACAAAATGCCACTACATGTATTTGTAATGAAAAAAAACCCCAACTTTTTGCTAAATAACAACATCATTTATCATTGAGACACAGGCAGGTTTATATTTTCAACTGTAGAGTAGAGACACGGGCAGGTATATATTTTGAACTGTAGTGTAGAGACACGAGTGGGTATATTTTGAACTGTAGTGTAGAGACACGGGTGGGTATATTTTGAACTGTAGTGTATAGAGACACGGGTGGGTACATGTATATATTATTTTCAACTGTAGTGTATAGAGACACGGGCAGGTATATAATTTTGAACTGTAGTGTAGAGACACGAGTGGGTATATTTTGAACTGTAGTGTAGAGACACGGGTGGGTATATATTATTTTCAACTGTAGTGTATAGAGACACGGGCAGGTATATATATTATTTTCAACTGTAGTGTACAAGGGCAGGTATATAATTATTTTCAACTGTAGAGACTCGGGCAAGTATATATTTTCAACTATAGAGTCTGTTCGCACGATGCACTGCAAGTGAAGTGATCCTCTCAAAATCGGTCGGACAAAAACTCGAATTAAAAATGCCTGTGATTTTTTTTCACGCGCATTGGTAGTCGGATGCCATCTGTTAACGCTTGGTATGCCAGGCAGTCACAGATATCGGTTTTCAAAATACTTGACAGGCGAACTTTTGTCCATCATCATACAAAAAGGCGACCTTTTGTAGAAAGCTCACGGTTAACCACTGAAATTCTCATCATTGGCACAAGGATAATTGAGACTTACATGTGCACGATAATAATATTGCATTTTTTTGTTACATTCTTTGCTCCTTTGATAGTATATTCGTAAAAAATGCATGACACTAATGATGATGAGTGTTGTATTTTTGTGGCTGGGGTTCGTACCATATAGTCTTCAGAATGCTTTAAGGAACGCATATTAACAAGTCAGTTAAGATTATTATAGGCAATGAACAATGACCTAATACTTTAAGGGTGACATTCATGATTCATCCTCGCGTTCACTTTGAGTAACTTACTTTTATCAGTTGAAGGAAAGGGCACAAGATATAAGCTTTACAGGGAAAACCACAACGGGATCATGTAATTCATCGCACCCGGTGATGTGTTGTCTGCAGTCAAACCACACGTCATCCGCATGAACGATCCCATATGGGCACATCAAGATTCATCATAACAAGAAAACCACACTAACCCTAGCATCCTCAACTTATGCAAATTATGAAGTTGAAGAACCAATATCAGTCCCGTTATGACTATATCAATATATCAGCCCCCCAAAAAGAATACATGCGGGAAATGCAACCGCTATTACATCCATGGCTGAGTCACGATGACATGCCCGAACTCACGATAAACCATACTTCCTGCATCTTGTCAAAATTGATGCACTTAAGACGGAGGGTGTGTGACATGATAAGTGAGCCTTTCGGCGTAAACTGGGTTAAAAGATTACCGACACGCGCACGAGTTATATGGGTGGAGTTCGGTAACAGGCATCTTAGAAAAATTGAAGTCGCGGAAGGACAGACGAAAAGATGCAACATTAGACTGATGATCGCCTCTTATCCCATTAAATGCTGAGGTCAATGAAGATTCCGGTCTTTGAAGCTGGCGCATTCCCTCAATTCTTCCTTTCGTACATGTATATCTCACATTTTTACATTATACACAGACCTAAAAGAATAAATATTCAACCAGAGCTCTGATGGCTTATCATTCTTGATTTTCAGAATGCTGGAATGATAATACTCAGGTATTGGGTTCTGATAGACCATATTACACGTGACTTCATGCCGTATTCAGTACAGGCAACACCGGGCAGCCCAAACATTTAAACATGTTTTGCATGTTATTTGGCCAACGGTCACCCTAACCATCCTCAATTCACTATAGATTCTGCACAATTCAAATGAACCATTACTGGTTACGGTAGATTACATGTCAACACTTCTATAAACCCCTCATATTTCGAGATGTATATTTTACTGCAGAGAACAGTTTGCTGAAAGTTGGCATCACGTGATCACAACATCCAATTTTATAAACTAATGTGCCATCATGGTCTATTGGCTAAAGCTAGTGCACTGTAGTGCACTTGAGCTGCCGAAGTATCAGCAAACCAAACAAAGGTCAACTTTAAGCACCAGCGATTGGACAGAGATTTTGTACAAAATGGCCCATCACTTGGTGATTCCTTTTCCCGTACCTACTTACGAGACTTGGTTTTACGGTTGCGCGTATGAACAATCCCATTTGACAATATAGCAAGGACTCTTGGCCTATTATGTCCGGTCTAAACATCCTGTTGCAATTACATTTCTTTCTTACCACAATAATATATTTATTTTGCCTTGCGGATGACTCGGTCCATTGAATGCCCAGTCTGTCTTCACAAAGCTATTAAATTTGGACGAGTTTCAGTGTCAAATGCCCCCAGTTGCATGCGAACTACTTAACTAAGTATTTATATTTTTTCGCATTTTACATTTCCTCGAGTTTATTTGTGGTAATTTCAGCACTGATACTACTTGCGGCGAGGCAGAAAGAAGTAAGAACTCAAAGACAAGTTACTCATGGCTGCATCGAGCTCGGCTCTGTCAGCGGCTGGAACATGTTTTAACTATTTCAAACTGCCTTTTAATACAAAAAGGTGGCTGATAAAAATATTACTCATCATCAGAGTGATCAGACTAACTATACTGGAATCAGATCTGGCAAGAATAAATGCTCCGTTTCTTCGTATCGTTTTATATAGCCAAAATGCTATGTTGTCCACCTATTACTCAGCATTGCATCCCCCACCACCTTTCACCCAAGAGGAGAATAAATGTATTTAATACCCACCGTGTGTCTCACAGAAGTAATGTTGCCATAGTGCCCGCACCTTCTGCTGACCGCCTACATCCCACACGCACAGGGTCACATTAGGTACGGGAGTGACCGTCTCCACGTTGAAGCCGATGGTGGGGATGGTAGTAACGGCCTCTCCAAGCTTGACGCGGTACAAGATGGTCGTCTTGCCTGTGGGGTTTGCATGACATGACAGAACGAGTTAGAAACGGTCTGCGTGTCATCCATGTTTTCAATTACATTAATAGCTTATCAGTTTGAAAATGGGTTACAGCACAGTTATATGAAATCATAGTCGATAGATTGGTCGACTGATATTGTAGATTAATTATAGAGAGCGGTCGGTTAGTTGGTCGGCAGGTCGGTTGGTTAATGTCACATTATTATTTTTTTTTAAAAACAGTGATCAAATTTAACTGAGAAGAAAGTAGGAAGTAAAAATTGAACAAGAGGCAATTACGAATACCTTTAGAAAATGCAACGAGAAGTTACCAAGGACTGAAATAATACCGAGTCTCATGTCGGGTATTCCTCATTTTTCTTCGATGTCTGGGAACGCCGCTTTAGCGAACAACATTGTGCAAGACATTTGGCATCCCAAGAAAATTGTGGTTATATGATCATTTTTTTTGTTCTGATTCAATCCATGCATGCTCGTCTTGTTTGAGCACGGAAAGAGATCATGGATAAAGAGGCCTCATGAGAACCATGATAATCAGATCTTTCTTGCTTCAAGGATTCCGAAGACTCTTTTAGGCCTATAGATAAACTATTTGCATTTAGGTGCCATCTCTAGGGCTTTTTATGGGGGGGGGTGTTACTATATTTCAGTTGCATATACTATACTATATTTCAGTTATACTCATGCATGTATGGAACATAAACAGGCTTCTCAAAAATGTCTGCAATGTATAGGATCTTTATATCACAGAGCACCAAATAGTCACAGATTTGACTTTATGACATTCCATCCAGCCCACACTTCACTAAAACACTATAGGCATCTATTTTGAGCCACCGACTGTCATTTTTCACCATATTCAACGCGCCTTCAAGTTCCATTGCGGGGACTTGTTTACGTTTGAGGAACAACCACGTCACAGTGGGTATGCACATTAGGCGCATTTCAGGCAAATCTGGCATACTTTGCGGTGATTTACATGCGCGGGATAACTTGCGGGGAATTCCTGGCGCAACCGTTGTTCACTGAATTACGACTTGAAAAAGAGGCAATCACGCGAATATCAAATCCCAAATTTCAAAATTTACGACCAGCCACTGAAATGTTTACCAAATCAACATTCTGTTCCAGGGATAACCGCTGTAACCCTATCGTATTTTCATTGAAAACTTCGGGACACAAATTCCGAAAATTAGATTCAATGAAATAATCACGACCGAACACCTTCATCCTGAAATCGTTGGCATCGGGGAATTTAAACAGGTCCCAAATTGTTCTGATCATAATACTCTGAGCGACAAAGTAGAGAAAAATAATTTCCAACATGTCTTCATAACCCAATTTGCTCCAATTTCCATTTCCATTACAATTTACATGCATCAACGCGAATCATTCCATGATTAATGAATGAAGAGGCCTTGAGTTGACACGATGCTAACTATGCGAACACGGTCGGGTCTTCTGGTTATTCAACTATTTCCTGTTTGTTGTTTTTAACTCGTATGTTTTGGTCATCAAAGCTACAAGTTTTCTGCATGCCATCGATATGATAAGTGCCAACAAGCACTAGCTAGCCTTGAAGAAGGTGGGATGAATTAAATGAAAGTTACAATAGGCCTCAATCGAAATTTTAAAAGGCAGACTGGTCACTGGTGTATTTGAATCATCGTTCGTTCTGCTCTACCACTCCTGCTGGTCGCACCCAGACACATCCAGCTTACAGGATCTCTATGAATACACATACTAGGTATGATATTGAGAATGGAGATACAGTTCACTGCCATCACCATCAATAAAAGCGAGGGATGAGTCATTGGCAGCTACCGGGGTAGGCTTCCCTCGGGCCAACTCGGATCGTCTGCGCTTCTTCTAATCTACACGGAGACCTGTATTGGAGAGGTGGACTCAAGTACTCCAGTGGATGGTCCATAGTCCCCTCGTGACAGTTATGCCAATTATATTCAGACTCTGTAATTTATTCGACTTGATGGATACGTTGGGTTCCCCTGAAAAAAATCTAACATGTTAAGAATCGGTCGACAAGGACATGAGCGTTGGCATGAATATGATGATGATATTATTGCTACAGCTCTTTGTTAAAAACAAAACAGGTAAAACCTTTCTCGTGCAATAATAATGAACAGATTATGTCTTTGTGTTAAAGGGAAAATACAACATTTGCAAACATCAAAAAATAAAACTACCAAATCATTTTGAAATACCTTGCTGGACTGTTAGTGAATGACAGTGTAAAGCATCCTGTAAAATCATGGCACCTGGTATACTGTCATTTTCAAGAAAAGTGGTATTTTTGTATCAATTTCCAACGCTGGTCGGCCGACCAGCGTTGGAAAAAAACTGGCTTTTTTTTTCAAATACTGGCCCCAATTGACCATCGCACTTGTTTGCAATCGATTACACACCTATGAACGGGTACAAGCCAGCTAGACTGGTTCCCTGACCTTACAATTCCCCAATGTATGTAAACTGCTCTGTTTCTTCTTATATAGAGTCAGGGAACCAGACTAGAGAAATATGATTGTTATTCTTGGTTTTTATAGCATTTTCGAACCCAAAACCTCAAAAAAGTCAGTGTAACTATATTTGCTATATATTTCCAACCCCCCAATTCCATCCATTTCTGAAAATTACAGCAAAAGCAAATGATGTATATTCCCTTTAATCTACGGTAGGATGAAACTATCAATCGTGATGCATGCACATTCGTTCATTGAAAAAATATATAGATTATGCCGTAGGCCTACATGCGCAAATTTAATTTTAACACATTTCTATAATTTCGGGTTTTTCTTTGTTAAGGGATGTAATATCTTTGGTCTCTTAATCCTCACCATATTTTAAATTGTTTTTAAAATACAACACACTGAACAGACCACCCATGCTGCATTCTTATAATGTCAAAAACAATTGGGACCGTCTTTGAGTCTATTAAAAGGACACAATAACAAAAGGAGAGGCTGCTGTTTGAAGAACAGGACAGACCGTGGCGACATTCTTCAAAATACCTCTTCAGCCTTCCAATCCAAAAAAAACCCCTATGGCTTCTTCTTCCCAAATGTCATCAGGTGCTCACCAAACCACCTAGTCATATCCGCTTTAATGACCTCGTTCACGTCAAGAGAGCTCGGTCCCTCTGTCTAAAACAATGACCTTTGACCCGAAATCATAGTCATAGCTATAACTTAAAGGCGTCTGCTCCGCCAAAGAATATCAGTGCTGGATTATGCCACAACAATAAAATTGAAACTGATCAAGCGTTCATTCGAGCCATGCTGTCAAAACCAATACAAACCAGCTCAGTGAATTGAACAAAAGCCTTTAGGGGGATCATGGGGGTAATATTGTGAAGTTGAACCCGAAGTATTAGCAAACTTCAATAATAAATGCCGCAAATAGATCCGCGTAAATACTAAATAGGCTAAGTATGTGCACGAACCGAGTCAACCAACCCGCGGTGGACATTGCAAGAATACACTTTTGACAAGTGGAATACAACACGACACAATACAAGCAGTGCTCCTTTTGAACAGCTGAAACTCTTTTGCCTGTTATCGGTATACACATGTGAGTTAAAGTGCAAGTGCAAGAAGGAAATATAAATGGCGTATTATTTTCCCCGAGTGTTAACGCATCGATATCATGGCCTTGCGCCCGTGAAACAATTCACTACAACCTCAAAGTTAATTCTGAGAATGACAGTGGGAAGTGAATGGTAAAATAATTAATAAATTTTGAGTACGTGCAAGAAAAGGATGGTCAATGGGAACTGCAAATTCAGTTCATAACAGGGCCTTCCTTGTCAACACGTGAGGAAATGTCACAATATCCGACGATTAATTTACAATGTGTTGTCGAGTCTGACATTTCCAATGTGAAAAACAGTGTTCGGAAATCCTTGATTTGACGACTGTGCAGCTATGCTAGATCAGACTTACGGGTGCCAAACAATACCGGCGCTTTCTTTCAAAGAATCCGTATATCAATTGATTGTTTTGCAAAAAGAAAAAAGGAAAAGTAATACAATAAAACATTATGAAATCTCCACTTACCAAGATTGAAAAATATGAACATTAAAAATTAAATAATAATAATAATAATTAATCAATTCACTATACTTACAATTTCTGTTTAATTATTGGAAGGTATAAGGTGAAACTGTACATCCTTAGCATGCTTAATGATAAACAAATAAAACGGAAGTTTTTCTACTCATGGCATGCAGGTGTTATTTTAAGACGATAGTGTACCAAGCCAACAGTTATGTACATTGCTTTTGAACAGTTGAAATGGCATTCGGAAGAACGTGACGCCACCCGTATCTGGATAAAATAATTAAATGAAGTAATCAACAGGCCTATGAAATAAAAAATGAACTAGCCTGATACCAACCAGGCAGCAACATCACATTTTGTCCGACATAACTCAAGGCCATCCGAGATTTATTACACACATTCCTAAGCCAGCTGTCATGTGAACTCAAGACACCCTGAGTCAGGCATCTCGACATTAAGGAGGAGGAATTTTCTTTTTTCTGTTTACTTACCGGCAGCATCAAGGCCCAGAATGAGGATGCGCGATTCCCTGTCCCCGCTCATAGAGAAACGGCAATCCACATGCAAGAAGTCCGTTAGTTTGCCCATGACATGGCCCATCTTAGTCGACTTGGCCCCCATGATGTTCTGTCAGTGCTACTAACTTACTTGGTATACTAATTGAGACAGATGGCCGGGGGAAGATGAGTCTCCCAAGAAAAAAAAAAGAAAGTCTCTTCCTCGTGAGCTCTTCGGCCAACTGCTCATCCGATTTGGAGCTTATTTAGGCGCACACAAACAGAAAGGGAATCACGATCTATGTGTTTTAGTGTTCGTATCGTACATCTTGCTGTACAATGGCACAAGCTGACGTCCTCAGTTTGGGAGCGACTTCAAAAATCTCTCGGGAAAAACGCTTGTTATTCGAGTAGAAATCAATGCATTTGAGGTTACGGGCGTGAACAGCTGATCCCCCAATATACGACCGCAGTGCATACAACTCAATAGACGCGCTAGGCACCGTGCTACTTCCGCGTGTAACTCGGTAGATTCAATGTTGCTCACTCGACGTTTTGAAATGGGCAAGGCTACTGATCCCAGTTCTTGATGATAAAATCACAACACTTGCCCGTTTTCTTCCATTTTATGGCAGATCGTTGAAACTGCTCCGGAAAAATGAGTAGGGTTCGCCTCCTGGAAATGCCGTGCACGACGTTTCGTAATATCCCAAAACCAGCGCACACACGTCACCTTCCTATCCGTTGCGCGTACGTGTTGTGAATGGGCCCTGCACACGCATGGCATCCGTGATGATTTTGTGCGAGTTCAGGTTTTCTGGCTAATGGATTTATAGCGTGCAGCTCGTGTTGCTAGAAGAAGTATACGCTAACGTACTATATGTACGTACGTGACAATTTTGTTTACCATATGCCGACACACCATCTACACGTTGTAAGTATCTTGTTAAAAGTTGAACTTGGCTAGGCAATTCGTCACCAACTGTTTGATGACTGGGCTACGTAATTCATGAATGTTGCAAAATAGCATGGGTTAGGGGTCACTGCGGATGATTCATGTAAACAAGACTTATCAACAAAATGATGTTTCCAGTAATTGATACGACTGATTCAACAAAAAAGAGAATACGCCTTGTTTTTACAATTACACGTCAGTGGGGTTCATTGTGATTTACATTACTCTTTTCAGGCGAAGCACAACAGATGTTTATTATTTGAAGGAAGTATTTGTTATTAAGTCATTCACTTCTGCAAATCAATGTCATCCCGTCAACAGGGAAATAAAAGCAAATTTATCATTTATAGACGTTGGCGACGCTACCCGGAAGGTCGAGTATACGGATGGTCCAAACAGTAATCAACAAGCAGTGTGGATACTACGTGGAAAAAAAACAGCAAAACTAGCATACATCGTTTACTTCCCCACTAGAAAACAATTACGAGTATTATGAAATAATACCATGGGGCTGTGCTTTGTCACTGTTTTCGGCAGAGCACCAGGTTGTACTGTGGGGGGGGGGGGGGGGGGGGGGATCCGCTGACACTTTTTCGATTGAATTCCCTCCCTTCAAATGGCAGAACACCATGGGCTATTGTAAATCATATATCTGGAATTGGAATAGAATATGCCTGGTGGTGGGAAAATGGAAAACATGCAGCAAATCGTTTAAGATAATAAAAACCTTTTCCGGGGCCATGGTTTTATTTTTTAATGCAATCCTTTAAAATGCACCTTCTCGTTTTGCCATTTTCAAGTTGCCAGAATTTTAGATATTTCTGTCGTATATTTTCTTTTCTTAGGTGATTCGTCGTGTCAGAACAATAAGCAAACTTTTCTCACAAATATTTTCAATAAGCACATTTTTAGGTTCACAACTTGAACAGAAAACCCCTATACTAAACTGCGTCTTCCTGAAATGACATCACAGCAAGAGCGCCCTCAGTTGTCCGAAAAGGTGCGGAAATAATGTGGGGGTATGGCCTAGTGGATAGGATTTGTGACTCATGATCAGAGGGTCAGGGGTTCGAATCCAGCCATATGTTGTGTCCTTTGGGCTAGCCACTTCATCCCCACTTGCCCAAGGACACCCAGGAGTATAAATGGGTACCGGTGTAGCGTGAATATCCGACTCCATTGTATTGCGCATGTGTAAGTATGACTATTAAGAGAGTGACTGGTCACGTGCCAGGGATTAACCAATAATAGGGGAAAAGTTCAATGTTCACAGGAGTCGGATTTTCATGACACCGGCATTAGCTGGGGAGTAACCTGCGATGGACTAGCAAAAATGGGCACCGGCATTAGCTGGGGAGTAACCTGCAATGGACTAGAATCCCATCCAGGGGGGATGGTCATATTTTTCAGTTGTTTCATGCTTCTGAAACCGAAGATAAACGCCGGCCTGATGGGCCATACTGGCTCATGACATATTGCACCTTTTTCTGACAAAAAAAATTAACCAGAAAGGGATGTTAAAATATTTTTCATAAACAAGTAAGCGTAGAAAGTTGCACAAATATGTTCCCAAGACAAATTATTTCATGAACCCTTTAGCAATTGGGAAATAAATTAATGTTGAATTCAAAGTAAGTCACATCATTTAATTTGAGTGTCTCTTTAACCGGAGTACAACAGTCTCAGACACTTACCGCCTATACCGTACCAGGGGACAGAATTACCGTCCACTCCACACCCGCACGAGGCCCGTTCAAACCTGTCTGGCTCTCATTTCGAACGCGGGAAGGTACCGCATCAGCTCTCTTGGTTAGGTGTAGACATAGCGCCCCCAACTGTCCAGACAAGCGTGAATGGAGAAGTAAACGTTTCAATCTGTGATGATGCAGTGGACATGGCAGACAGTATGGCGGTATAAAGTCAATTTTATTCAGATTAAACATTAACAGGACTTTTATTATTCTAAAGACGGAGGTCACTTAAAACAGAGACAAATACAAGGTTGTTTGGGAAATGGCCTTTTTCGTGAACACTATAGGCCTAATACCGTATAATACCGTAAAGCCCGGTTCATACTTCATGCGAATTTTAACGTCATGAAACATTTATATTCACCGTGAAATTCGCCCGCCAAAGTTGATTTTTTTTTTCCAACTTTTACGAATTCGCAGCGCGAATACCCCCTCGGCGTCACAAATTCGCGTTCGCTTTCGCGCCGAGTATGAACCGGGCTTAACTCTTGCGGGAATTTGGCGAAATGTTTGCGTCCTCTTTAGGAATACACTGTCAAAGCTCGGTATTTAACATCGCAACTCTCGGTTTCATATTTCCAATAAAATTAAAATCTTTCCTTAAAAAACAGCACAATCTTCATCATCTCCAACCCAAGCTTACCGTTCGACGGATGAATACCTGTCCTGTACTGCCAATGATGATCACAAGATTGCATCGCCGTGTTGCCCCGAAGACAAATTTTGGGATGCTCCCATCGGCCTTCTGCGGTTATTCCTCGTGGCTTTGCAGGCTCTTTCTACAGCTGACAATACAGATTAGCAGCATCACTCCCCCGGTAGTGGGATCAGGGACCGAAGGAAGTGAAACAAGCATCCTCGTCATTGGCCACTCTTCTTTTCCTCTGACGATTCACTGATGCTCACTCAGTCTTGGTGGGGGTGACAATTAAGAACCATTCCCATAAGATTTCCAGTGGTACACGCCCTTCGGTGTTGAGGAGTCCAGCAAGTAGCTCACATGCATAGGGAGGTAAAGTATTTTTTGTTCGTGCTTGCTCCGGCAGAGATCACGGAGTACTGCTTCATAATCTCCGTAGACCACAAACATCACACGAGACAAAATGCCTCTTTTAGTTGTGCCGATAGTTGTATACAGGACTTGCAAATAGCCTTCCGCAAAGGAGGTTTAAGTGACGTATCAGCCAGCAAAAGTCGAATGATGCACATTTCTGACTCGTTGGCGAACGCCCTATAAAAAATTAAGTTGGTCTCTTCTGATACTAGCGAAACTCATGTCAATGGTCCCAGGTTCTCGGTGCTGTTTTTTTATGTATCCCCTTCTGCCAGTGTTCACAGCCAGTGGCAGCCTTCTGGGGACGCTGATCATGCATTGCAGTACCTCCGGTAGTGCCGTAAGTAAGATGATTGTGCACCTTGTGGTTCGGTCGGCTTCTGAGCAATAATGACACAACGACCAATAATGGTTGCTGCTTCTCCTGTGCCAAGTAGATGGCGTGGGATGTCAGCGGCATACTTCGGAAAGCTTGCCCGGCATCGAGTTGTATTCGAAGCCGCTGATGAATCTGTTATGTTTTCACCCCAACGTCATCCCTTAATAAGAACACAATTTTTCTCAAAAATCAAACTATCGTGATTCATAAAAATACAAACAATGGTTCTTGAAATCAAAGAAATTTCTAAATTCAAGTAAACACACAATGTTGCTCATGAACTCTCTCAAAAGTACGTGTATCTCGACTATTACAAAACAAACCAAAACTTACAACTTAATACACCTGATTTACTTATACATTAAAATATATATATATATAATTCCATCAATGAAACATCTCAGACAGCTCTTTATTATATTCCACAGAAAGAAAATGATTTCAAATAACTTTTTGTTCGTGAGTTGAATTTATGTAAATTACATGACAACGTCTGAAGAGAGGGACCGAGCATTTTTGGACAGATTTTTGTTTTTAATCAGAGCAAAAACTTGATAAACACACATGCACTACACTCATTTTAAAAACAATGAAATTAAAAAGAAAATTCACAGATATTTGGACCGGTGTCATTGACATTTAGACGCTGTCCACCTTGACCTTTTGATCCCGCCACAAACCATTTGTGTCTACAAAAGAAATTGGAAGCCAGAACACATGATCTGTAAACAGAGCATCTTTTTATTTCATTATTTAGTGCAACATTCACACGAATTACAATCATTTATGTAACACAAAACACATAGAACATGATCACAAATTACATGTACTAATAGTTAAAAAATATATATTTGATGCGAGTATTAATATTGGACACTTGGACAGTTTTGTACTCAAGACATTTTATTTCTGAACTTAGGAAGAATCACAATTTAAAGCAACATGTGTCAATTGATGCGAGTTCTGGTACTTTTTAAAATATATGACAAGATACAATGATAAGAGACATGGACGTCTTTTGGACAGAGTTTTTATCTTGTCTATAATAGTCAATTACAACATACATGAACTACAATGATTTGAGGCAAAAAAAACATTTTGAACAATGCTGTAATTTTTTTATATTTTAAGCAAAACTTCACATCAATACAAAACATTGAACACAAAGATGTTACATGGATGGTGTGTCTTAAGACATGCTGCAGGTTGAAAATGTGGTTCGGGTTTGTGAAGAAATAGTCTACAATGAACTGCAAACAACACAATTATTGTCTTCCTTCATCACCTTGTCAACAGATGTCTGTTGCCTGGATGTGTGTTATACCAACAAGCTTTGCATCCAGAGGGCATTTTTGGATCCATGACTACTGGTACTGCAGCTGCGGTAGTCGGATTTGACATCCCGTAGCCGCACTCAGTCCTTCTTATTGGTCTTCGGCCACCTGGTCTCGTCGTGGGCTACAGAGTGAGAGTGATGAGATAAGTTCAGGTTTACATTTATGGAAAATCACCTTGCCGAGGGGATCTAGGGCAAACAAGATGAAGGCATTGGTCTGACAGATCTCAAGAAGGTCACTGCACACTTCCAGCACTTGCTTGTCTTTTCATTGGAACTGTCCATAGCAGGCAACTTACTGGTCCCCCTGTATCAGCAACTCATTATCAAGTTGTAGTCATGGGCGAGATTACGTCTGCTGGTGAAAACGTCTATTCATTTCCACACCCAGTTTTCACCAGTTGCAATATAGTTACCATTCAACATCAAGTTGTAAGTACATAGGTCTGGGAACTAGACAAGGCAATGTAAAAAAAAAAAAAGCGCCCGGATGTCCACACTCACTCTACACACAACGGAATGTGTCA